TAGGGTTTATTTTTGATTCGATCGAAACGCATATTTCCTTATTTGGTGACTTATGAACATGTATTTAACCTCTACACTATTTAATTAGTTCATGAGGTAACTGAAATATTTGCGTAACTACCGAAGTGTGATCATATAAATGGATATATTTTCAAAACTCTTTTTTTCTTCTGAGGCAATCATCAAGTAATAAAGTTGGCATATCTTTTGGTGTAAAATTTACTTATATCAAATGGCTGACGTCTTAATAGTTATTATTAGCCCTTTAGTTGACTTCAGGCTTCACAGAGGGAAGGAATATCAAAGTGAAAAAAAGTCGAGAGGGGGGGAGGGAGGAACAGAGGAATGTTTCAAAGATGTAAAAGAGACAGACACAGAGGTGGAAAAAGGTGGGGTGAGTACTGTGGAAGTAATCGAATATGACATACAGTTGGTCGATGGCAGTTTGAAGTCAGAAATCAACTGCCGTATGAGTATACGTTACCCAGGGTGCGCAACATGGAGATAAGTCTTTCGCACACCCCTCTTTTGGTGTAAAATAGATAGTGACAAATCAGCTTTGTTCCTGTTCCCAGTAGCTTCTCTACATCCTCAAGTTTAAAGGTAATATGTGTTAATGGGATTATTAATCAAATTAAAATATATTTTTATCTACAAATGAGGCAACATCGTATCTTTAGTAGTTAATGCTCTGTCTAGACACTTGAAAGCAGTGGGTTATGTAGGCCCTTAAGAATATTTCTCTTCGAATTCCTGTTCCATTGCTACTGGTATTTATCTGGCTAAATATTTCCCAGTATTTCAGCTTGAAGTTGCTCTTGACAATTTTATTTCCAATTTAGCATTGTGATAGAACTTTTTCCGTAATTGGTAGGAATTGTCGCATTTTGACTTAACGTTAAGTATTCGACCTCATGGTACACAGTTCGCGTTCATGATGTATTTTCCGATAACTATAAAACGACTGCTTGATAAGATTCATAAAATATTCTTCAAACCAATAAACCATAATTCAGTTACCCTCTGTACATATTACTCTCTTTTTTGTCACATTGAAATAGGGCAGCAATTTTAATTAAAATGACAGGCCTTTTAAGAATGGAATTTCTTATAGTATGGGTGAATCGGTAGCCAATTATTAGGACAAGTCTGTCTATATGTGAGTTTATATTCACTCATGCAAAACAAACGTGATTATATGTCAAACGTGTCTGAATAAGCAACCATTTTTTTCCATTTAGGAGCCTATGAAATGGATATTAAAATGATTGCAAAAGACTTGACGGACTCTGTAGTTACCTCTGCGATACATCAGGTGACAGGAAATAGTCGACGTCGAAGTCCAGAATGTGCTTGTACAACCGATAGCGGAATCAGCTTCATTGAGATTCCAGGTCATTTGAGTAGCGGCGAGGACGATGAACTCACTGTAACTGGATCTAAACCCCATTTGGCACCTACTCATACAGAAAAGGCACATGACTCAGTTGTCCTCTTCTCTGATCTTGACAAGCTTGACATGGACAGACTTTCATCACCGTCTGGAGTGTCTGTTGGTCGAAATGACTCCCAAAAATCGACAACTTCTAGTGGTTACCTAGGATCTGGTGATGAAATCGTCCAGCATGATTGGGTTTAATGATTGAGTCCTGTACCGCCTAACTTCCGCCAACCCCACCTAACCCTTCTTCTACGCACCATGAAAAATTCAAAACTGTATATACTCGTATTTTAAAAAGGCCGACATTCTACTTTGATTATTAATGGCAGTATCCCATTGACAGAAGCACTTCCTTTATGCACAACAATGTGACCTATTTTATTTCCCATCTTGGCCTTTGCTCTTTCCAAACTTTGCCCTCGCCTTTCTCCTAAATCTCACCATTATTCTTAGTGAAAATGAAGAAACATTTAACCGATTCTTTCTCTCCTCTCTCAAACTGTGCCTTTCGCTCAAAATTTAATCATAAAAGCGCTTTTGTCTTAAATATATTTTTAATCTTATTATAAATATCGGGAAGTTGGGAGTTACCGGAGTAAGATAAACAGCTCGCTTCAAAACAACTAAACTTTAAATAGCTAAAAGGTAGGAAACAAAGGGAGGAAGCTGTCAAGATGAAAAACAGTGTATCACTAGGGCAGAAAGAAGTCCATTGTGGAGAATATTGAAAAGAGATGCAATTAAGTAACAAATTAAGTGAGGGGGGGGGGGAGTAATGAGCCATGGGTAAAGAATAGGGTAAGTCAATAAATGGCATCTAGCAAGGCAGAAAAATCGATAGAAAATAAAGCAATTAGGCTTTAATTTCGTCAAGACAGCAAATAAGCATAGAAGAGTTTTGTGGGAACGTCATCGCATGCGCGTACACATAGGCTTGAGGTGCGGCCGTACAACTTCGCGTACGGATTGAGGACGAGAGCACGCAGCCAATAGCAGCTCAAGGGCCCTCACTTGTTTCATCTAATCCGCCATTTTGTATGACTGAGTTTCCTTCCTGTATACACTTCTTGCGTGGTTTACCTACTGAATAAACGTGCTCCGTGCTAAACGTCTGTTTCCTTTATAGCTGGGCTATAGCTTAGCTGGTTCTGGGAGTCTAGCTAGATGTTGGAGAATTTGCCATAGAGATTTCTGAGTCAGTCAGGCTTTACTAAGGTAGCAATCCGCTACAGTTTTCAAAAAATCAATAACTGGAAAAAAAATAAAATAATTAAATACTTCAAGCATTTTCGTGAAGGCCATGAACAACTTGGACAAATGGTTTTTAAACGAATTTATCTTGGGGTTGAAAGGCAATCAATAAAACTGAAACCATTATACGGAAAGGATAATAGAGTCCGAAACCTGAAGGGGCTGCCATTATCTATTAGCACCTACATGTGATACGTGTTAGTAGACAGTGACAATAGTTTTAAATTTGGAAATAATTTTATCCTTTAATGTATTCCATAAAACCGCGTGATTTGTTGAAAGGTAATTAGTGGTAAGAAGTAAAAATCAGCCTCACTAATCGATAAAATTCAGCTTCATGGAGAGGTGTGATATAACCGAATGTCGATTCTGAAAGGAATTTTACCATTTATTTAAGTTAGTCTTGTAATTAGCATTTGAACTAAAATTAACTTTTAAGAAAATCAATGATTTGATATCAGTATATATGCTCAAATAGCTAACTGCCTGTTGAAAATATTAACACAGAGGAGCTAGAAGTGATTTCTAAAATTGACCGGTTGAAATAGCCCTAATTTGATCAATGTTCTCGTTTATTTTTCTAAGATTATATAGACAATACTCCCAAATAAAATGCATAAAATATGTAAAATATTTGCTTTAAATTGAATTCAATTTTAATTAATTCTCATGCTATCTGAAATGAGTGTTCAATTACGCGAAAATCAAGTAAAGAATGAAAATAGGCGTAATTTCAAAATTGTCATAATTAAAATGACTTTGAAATATTTTGAAAAAGATTTGCTAGCAAACATCAAAAAATTTATCGGATTAATCACCGTTAATAAATCAAATAGCTTCGAATCGACTTAGAAACAAACGCAAAGTAAGTAGCAATATCAGATTCAATTCTGTCCGAATTATGTAAAAAAGACGATCTAAACAAAGAAAATATCATTGACAGAAACGCTTTTAATTTCAAAGCGCATAAAATCAACTAATTAGAACATATATTGAAATTTCATAAATATCAATCAAGCATGCTTTTAGATATTCGATTGGAAATAGATTTACCATTGGATTAAATATAAAAAGAATGATTCGTGTTATTTAATAATTGTTAATTTGTATAAAATAATTTAATTTGAAAATGAATCAAATTGTAACCTTGAAGAGTATGGAATTTGTCGGTGAAATAAGCCGCTCTTTAAAATGATGCTGTCGGAATTGGTTGCTTTTGACAGTTTCAGTGTCGAGCCTGATGCTTCTTATGACGTAGAAAAAAGTAAAATTTATTAAAATTTTTACAATTCCTAGATGTGTCTGAGACGTCCTTTGCTCCATCTGGTGAAAGTATTAGCCGTGCCGGTGGTTCTGCATTTAATGTGTCCGATTTCGGTGATAGAATTTTTCTCTGGCGTTCTGACTTCGACAAATTAACTATCCACGAGATATCATTTAATAGGGAAATTAATCGGAATTCAATTGAACTCAACTTTTCCAATGCGAAAGCATTAAATTGTGGCATATACTATGAAAAGTCTGGTTTGTACATTCTTGTTTCAACAACTGATGGTGTCTATCAGCATCGCTTTCCCTCATCCGAGAAGGTAACATTGATATTTTGTGACTTTTTTAGACAAATAAACTCGAATCTCTTCTGAATAATTACGAAGATTCAGAATCTCAGTTTTACCCATTTAAGGGTCTCTCACCCCAGGGAATAATCTGCTCTACCACTTTTCGACATATGGATGAATATTCCCTCTTTGGTTTCGGTCTTAAAGGAGGCACTGTAGTACTTGTCTCTATTTCTGAAGCTGGTCAAGTTATCAATGAGTTGACCGTGTCAGCGCAACATTTCAGTTTGTTGTCGGGAATATTTCCTTTGTCATCCAAAGACGTCGATGGAATTCAAGAACATCCCGTTTCCGTGGCATTTCTTACCAATGGATTTATGTTACCGAATATTGTTTGCGTATCAAAAGATCATTATTTCCGTGCATGGGATATTAAGTACAATCAATGTATTTCTTCTATTGATTTACTCAAATGTCTTAACAAGTATTCGAATTCATTTGGGAATTTCACATACAATCTCCAGCGTAGTCAAGCCTTTGCTCCGGGCTTGAATCATCGTATAAAATCTATCAAGAATTTTGCTCTGATTTACCTTGAATTACAACCAACTAGGAAGATTTCAATTCCTTCCCCTCCAATGTCATTTTGGATTTGGATAAAATCATCTGTTATGCCTAGAGGAAATGTCAACTTTGAGATAATCAAGGTCGAGCGTATTGAGCATATGCCTGTTTTCCAGTCCTCATATTCAGCTTCCGTCAGTTCATTGATTGATTTTTCACCACATTTGATCTATGAAAACTCATTAAATGCTTCTGGTGATGAAATGGATACCACATCACCGAAAAATGAAGTACCTACCTCTTTAGGTAATTGCTTGGATTCGTGTATATTATTTACTAGCATGCTAAGGGAAAATTTATTTCATTCTTTGTAATGCTTTATTGATTGTATTAGTGAGTATGCAAGTCTATCAGGTTAGAATTAATGGATTCGATAATGCGATTGCATCCAGGGTTTGATATAGAGGTCTGTAAGTTTTAAGCCTATTGTGTTGCTCCAATGGTGAATAAAATAAATAGATTTTATGGCCTTTGAGGCACATCCAGTGTACGAAATTTTCTGGCTTATAGATGGTAACGTGAATGCCATTCCATTTCCAGGTGTTTGGTCATTGATTGATCTCCCCAATTCGGAAGGATCTAGTCAACCTGTTCTGCACTCCGAATTGTTCGACTTGGATCCCACTGTAATTTCATTAAAGTCTGCCTCGACCGCGATTGGAAATACCCTAATTCAGCCATGGCAAGAACCCCTACCCCAGTCTGTTTTCCAGGCACAACTGGATGGCAAAAGATCCAACATATTTAATGAAATCGAAAACAGTTGCAATGTCTCCGCCTTCTTAGATTTCATTTTTATGCCTGGTCGATTTACGAAAGAGGCTATCTGTAAGGCGTTTAAGGTTTGTTGCATCTTTTTTTGTAGTTTGTTTCCTTCTAGACGTTAAGACATGCCCAATCTCTCGATGATTCCTGTCTTTCTCCGGATGATGAAATAGCTAGAATTGGTGAAAGTATTAGAAATTCGGTAAGTACACAGTTCATTTGTATACCCGATTTAGTAAAGCTGGAGTCATAAGTTAAATAGGTTAAGTTTTGTAGTCGTCTATATCCAGCAATCATGAGTTCGAACTTAGCAGTCTAGCTGTCATTATTCCCCTTTATTAAGTAGTTGATTCTGACTAAAGGTTTGACTCTAATCGAACTGATTTGAATGCTATTTTCCTCTTAGTTGCTGCATGAATTTTCATGTGAAGAGTTACCAACGGCGTTGAGGACTTTTCATCAGAGCATTGTGGACTATCATCAGCGTTCCCTGGAACCCCTGGGTCTTTTCTGTGTTAAATCAACTGGGGACGTGATAGTTGTACATCGGTCAGGAATATCAGTAACGAGGCCCCTTCAATCAGCTGAAGAAGCCCTCTTAAATCCGCATTGCTTGACCTCAGATACTGTGTCTAGTAAGCTCTTATTATTATGTCATTTATGTCTGAAATTCTTTTGATTTTGTTAAGGAACAGTTGTCTTAACTAATGGGCTACAAGTTAGTGAAAGTAAATAATGAGGGTGAGGGTGTATCGTTTGTCGCTTAGTAGGACTCCTCGATTGCATTCGCGAGCCTTACACAAATTTTAACTTATTTCATTATCCATAGTTGAATCTCGCGGTCGAAAACACCTGCTATCCAATTGTCGTAAAATCGTGAAGAGTCTTGCACAAAATCAATTCTGGCTGGAACACGAACGTCACATTTGCGACGTTTGTACCAACTTCCAGCATACAGAGTCAGTACTTGATCAACTTGTGTAAGTAATTTTTTTTGTTTACATTTTCTACACATAAATTATAAGTAGCTAATAATGCATATCAATATTATTAGAAATGAGTTGAAATTAGGAGAAATGGGAAAACTATTTATAAGTGAACCAGACGACTCAATGGACCGACTAGAAGCTGCATTCAATTGGGTTCTGGAATTGATCTCGTCTTCAGATGACTCTGAAGAATTCGAGAAATCTGTAATTGACGACGATGGATCAGAGCCAAACATTGGTATTGTTTCGACTCTCTCAGCCGAATTACTAGCTAGGGGCGTTCGACAAGCAACAATCACTCGTTTGCGTTTTGCCGTCGCCCTCTATATTCTTTGGCGTCGTTGTAATTGTCACTCTTACTCCAAATTCGAATTGACATCTTCTTTCGAGAATCGATTGTATCTTGTCTATCGATGCCTGGCTATTATTCAATGGCTTTCCGTCACACGGTCTTTGCCAGATCCTGAAATAAATGATCTGTAAGTTGACGTTTTGATCGTTTAAAATCCGAAGAACATTAAATCATCTCATTGGGGGGTTTCTATTGTAGGAGACAGCCCTGGGCTCTTCTAAAAATTCTCGGAATGAATTGTCAGCCTAAAAAATCAGTTTCTGCTTCAAATCTCCTTGAGGAACTCTTACTTACCTTCCCCGAATTTTCTGCCGGATTTCCAAATGTGATTTCTTGGCGAGAGCACACATCAAAGATTATCACGATTCTACAGAGACGTCTTTGTCCGATTGTTAATTATGGCAAAACTATGCTTCCGGTGCTCAAGTACCTACTTTTCAATGCGAAGGTAAATCGAAGCTTATAACAATTGTCATTCTTTTAGACTCTGGAGATTTTGAAGTTGGCTAAATGTCTTGCACCAAACGCCTTTTCTGGAATCGACTTGGGGAAAATGCTAACGAATGGAGAAGAATACGAAGGCGCGGCGGCCACGAAGACGAGGGTTGACTTGGTGACGGAATCATGGTGGCCAGGAGACTTGAACGCCCTCTACACTTGTGTTTTTCTTGCCTTCGCTTGGTCAAAGTACGTAACTACTTTTTTTTCTTTCCATGTTTTATATGGGCATTTCAAAGATTACTGGCATGTTTTACTACAACATTAGCTTATCTTCACTATTGAGCTATTAGCTGTAAGCCAGGGATCGTTGCATTTCCATGCACTCCATAGCACAAAATTCCAAATCCTCACTAGAACCGAAGTCAAAAGGCTTGAAAGTAACTGAATACATCTATCCAATTATGGTAATACAAAGAGGCCGTCACTCATTATGTTGAGTTGCGGCCGAAAGTGTGGTGAATGACTCTAGTTTAATGGTGTAACTTATAATGGCCCTCTGCAGAGCATTTCAAGATTAAAACTTAAATCCCTTGGCGGTAAGTCATATAAAAAATCATGAAGGAAATGATTTATAAAGACGTCACTAATGAATTCGGGTTCACAAGTCTGGTCGTATTATATTTACATATTCGTTTCCTTGTTTACTGGAGACATTACTTTCCCTCGATACCCAGTGGCTAACTAACTAGGCTAATAATTACGGCTACGCCAATTAATTTACTTCTTCCAAAATCCAAGTAAGGAGCTTATTGAATAGAATGTAATTAAATGCTTACTGCATTCTACAAGAACTATAATGTCCAACTGGTTTCTTTGTGGCTCTCAGTATTAATATTTGCCCTTTTCTGCTAATACCCCAAGGAGCTTTTTGCTGTTGTAGCTATAGTTCCTCTTTATACATGGGGTTGAATGCCTTTTCTGGCATCATTATGCACTGTTAATCTTTTTCAGTACCGGGAAGTGGGGAGCTATGTAAAACTAGAGAAAAATTCAGAATTCCGCAGTTTATGCTGCACTGAGAATCAGTTTATTACTTACTATCACTGCTACAAACGGAAATGATTATAAACTAAAAAAATATTCTTTTACAGATATGCGCACGAAGCGATGGATCAACACATTGAGGGCTCTCTTTACTTAAGAAACCGTCTCCTTAGTAAATTTCATCCATCGGCGTCTGAGTGTCCGCAGGAATTAGCCATTGACGATTCCCTGGCTATTCCTTGCTCCTTGTTGGAAGCTCTCTTTCCTGGAGAGTTTTCACTGTCCTCCTTGGGCCTATCGAAGTCGGTTCTTGAGAGCCAAAGCTCCATTTCCATGCGTTACCTTGTCGATGAGGTGCAGATTAGATACCTGATCAAAGTACGTTTATTTTTATTTTTTACTGTGTGTATTTTTATTGAGAGAGAGATGCTTGCAAGTTCATTTACAATAACACATTGGGCAGAATAGTGTCTTGTTTCCCGCGATACTTCTACAGAATGGAGATCTTTGTTAAAATCTATTTTTTTATCTGCACCAGAAATAAAAATAGCGATTACAGTTTTGTCTATTCACGTTTTACCCTTAAAATCTTGTTTGGATATTGTGATGCGCCTTGATTATTTTAAGCACTCTTGAATGCAGTGTCAACTTTCCACCAACAATGGCTTACATTTATGGTTTTCTGCACTATAACTTATTTATAAATAAGGTGAGGGTATTATTAAAGTATACATTATCCCAGTAAACTGAATTTTTATCACGATTATTTGCCCTCTGCAAAGCCACGTCTATTGAAGAAGACATGTTGCTTAAGCAATTGCTATTATTCAAAAGTAAAATTGTTTGCATGCAATCAGATGTGGTAGATGATCTATATCCGGCTTGAACGTGCAAATCTAATAGTTGTTCATAGACTTCACGAGAGATGGAGTGCAGTAGACTAACTTATGCGGACTGAGAATATTTGATTCAGTTTCCCAATATATGTGCTATTTCTGTGTTATCAATTGTGATTTTGTCCCTTTTAGGCGATGACAGTTTTGGAACTAATTGATAAGCCCGAATGTGTTATTTCCCTGTGCGAATATGGTCTTGAGATTATTCGGAGTGCAGCGGAGGCTGCTCGTGAGGAGGATCTACTGAGCTTTGGGGCCAATCAGAAACTTACCTCACTCCTACTGGGCAACTCAGAAATGTCGATGGATTCTCCGGAAATACGTAAGATGTTATCGAAGTACAGCCCTTGTCTAAAATTTACTAGTTCAGTTTGTGTTCTAAGGATTACCATTATTTTGGGAGAATGCAGTCGCTTGCAGTGTATTACTTATATACCTCTTATACCTCAACTCCCTTCTGGAGAGTCCTGTCCCATAACCCCTCTTACGGGAAACTTGCGTTCTACCAGCTCTCTTTTTGAGTGTTGGACAATCTCTATTACTGGATTTGTTGATCTCTTGACCTCTAACTTAGCAAGCATGTGCATTGAAGATTAATCCATGTGGTCGTGGTTCAGTGAATTGTATGTACTGGATTTGGGGCAGTGGAGAGTAATAAACATAGGAAGACAAGTATATTGAAAATTTTATCGATTTTGTCTGGATTTTTATAGCTTTTAATGGACTCAAACAGCTTTAATTAGAAAAGGATAATAATTAAACCGTAATAACAACTTTCTTGATTGAGAAGTACATACAGGTAATTGAATTATTTCAACAAATAAAGCTAGTTCTTCTTTCTCATAACTATTAATGCGGTAAATATGCGTTCCTTATTTTGGCAATTTCGTATAATTAAGACGTATATTATGCACTTTTCAGCTGTCAATGCGGGAATGCAGACAATGGGAAGTCCCACCAATCTCTTTCCAGTGTCTGCAATTCGTACCGACGACATGGCATTCCGAACAATTGCACAACACTTGTCTGAACTTGAAGCCGTCCTGCGTACTCGTATTTTCCGTCATGAGCTGAATCTTGGCAATATCGATCGGGCTCATGAGTTGGTCATGACTAATCCGGACAAAGCTAAGTGAGTTGTCATATTAGTTAGTTAATTTATGGGAAGCTCTCTTCTTTGTAAGTATAGCTAATATGGCTATCATGATCAATAGAACTGCCTTGGGCTTGAACGTTCGCTGGAATAAAGTCGACCATATTTGTAGCGGAATTTTTTCATTTCTCACATTATGTCACTTTCTAACAGAGTTCCATTGTTTTGAATCCTGCATTTTTGGCTTCTCCGTTGGTATATTAATGGCTCCTGTTAATCCCAACAGACTTCTTATTTAATATTTGGACTATCTTGATCATTTGGTGTAGTCCTTTTTTGACCAAATCTTATTCTCACCATTCATTTAATTTCAGGCAACGTGACTGTCTCCATCTTCTAATCACCGAACTCTGCGACCATAACATGGCTCCTAGACTCGTCAACCTAGAGTATGGACCTCTTGAGGACGAGGTAAGCGACACTCTTCATTACTCCCGCCACTTCCATATTGTACTCAAAATTCCTAACCTAATTGGAAGCTCACATTAGACCATCCGTTTTCGTGATCAAAATTAGCTACTGGGGTTGGTAATCAACACCAAATGTGCCACTGCGGGCACCAATACCCTGACCTCTGAATTTGTAAAATGGAAATCATTTTCTGCTCTATTAGTACAATTCCCATTACTTGTATCGTTTTGGGAGTAGGCATCCGGATAATTTCCGGACTACATCTTTGACATTTTTCCCTCTTGTATTGCATTAGATCCTATTTGGGATCGATTTGAAGGTAGCTGTGAATTACTCTTATTTTAGCTTATTTCAACCCTGGAATCACGTGCTCGCGCTTCCGATGTACTCCCCAAACCCCTTCCACGTCGTCAAAACCTTCGTGCACAAATTGGTGATGGTCAAACTGATGAGGTTCAAGAAAGAGAGATACCGGGAAACATTTTCTACGATGTCCTCTACGCCTACTACGTTCGTCGCTCTCGATTCCATTCCGCTGCAGAAGTATGCTTTGAACAGGCAATCCGCTTGGCTGAAGAAGCTACTTTACTTCCTCCTACACTTCCACGAAGAGCCAGATTTGATGGAAATATTGGCGATACAGGTTCAAGAGCTCTGCTTGTCTTGCAACATCAAGCTTTCTGTCTGGCCGATTGTATCAACGCGCTAGAGTTACTTCCAGTCAAAGATCAGTGGATTATTCGACCGGATACAAGTATTGCTTTTGTGGATATCGTAGAGGTAAGCAAGTGACTTTTTGTGAATATTATTCAGTTATTTGTTTATAACATCATGTCATTGTGCTATTTTGCACTGGATTGAGGAAAATTCAAGGAAATCGTAATTCAGAAAAATTTCACACTAGTAGGATTTCAACTAAGGTTCAATTGTTTCAAAATTTTCGGTTTTTCTTGTTCAGTATCCATTTCGATGTTCTTTTTTTATACGGAGTTAATTTAATTCATTTTACCACAGAACTACACAACTATGTTCCTTTATTCTTCTCTTTGACTCTTTTAGCCCAATGATTTGAAGGAAACTATCTCCTGGGCCTTTTACGAGACGAACGAAGCCTTAGGTGAGAATGAAGTCACTTCTGGCACTGGTGAAGTTGAACCTGAAATCCCGATTCGTCATGCAGAGGGCCGAAAAATCTTCCAAATGGTTGACCTCAAATACCAGTACCTTGTTGTTCAAGCTCGTTTAAAACTTACCCAAGTCTCTCGGAATCACAGTATTCTCAGAGGTGGCACCACTTCCCCTCCAGACCTCTATTCCGCTCTTATTGGAACTGCTCTTTACGATGTAAGTAGGTGTGTTGTCTTGATATTAAATCGCACGTCGTTTATTAACCATATATCTGGTTATAGGAGGCTTTCAAACTGCTTCTGGCATTCAATCTAGACCCTGATTTGCTGATTACGACAATCGCATCCCGCTGCGTCGCTCTAACTGAGGCAAAACAGTGTTCTAATGACGGATTGCTGCCCTATCTTCCAGCATTGACAAACGCCGCTTCTCCATTGAGTATGGAACGGGATTTGGTCATCAAGTCAATTGCCTGGCTATCTGACTACTTCGACCCCAATAGAGGGCTTTTAGTGGAAGTTAATCGAAAGAATGATCTTCTCGACCTCTACTGGTCACTGCTTAAAGTTGTCCTCACAAATGTTCATAATGAAGGAGCTCTAACAAGGGGATCAAAGTGGGATCTGCACCTCCTAGCATGTAAGGTCCTTCTGACTGGATCTCTGAACCAACCGACCTCCACGATTCAACTTCCTGGATGGCTCATGCAATTGATGTTATCGAGTGGGCAGTCGGGTCCTGTTGTACCTCTGCTTCGTATCTTGATTGATCACAAGAAGTTGAGAGAGGCTTGTCGTTTGGCGCTTGCTTTATTGGCATCGGCTACTGGACCAGAAACAGGACAGTGTCCTGCTCTTTCAAAGAAAGCAGATTTGCACCTATTGCAATTGAATTTGCATTCTGCCCCAAAGACGATTAACTCGTCTATTATCTACATACCGCATGGACTTCTGTTCCATCTAATGGATTCACTTGCTGCTGTTGGACAGAATGACGCTTCGTACTCCTACGTATGTCTGATTACTTGGTTATTGGTCCACTGTTTCATAAAAGAATAAGTCACTAGAACCTGAAGTTAATAAATTGGTTATTGCTAAGTTAGCGTACATGTTTGTAAGACCACGTGGTTATTGGTCATTGGTTTCATTTTGATGGTTACTTATACAGCTTCATTGCAATTTTATCCTAAACCACTCGATTTAAAAACCAAGTATTCTTTCTCTATCCGAAGATCCTAGGAGACGCTTGTACACTATTTGGGATTTCACATTCCAGAGGAGTCATTAGGAATGTTAGAGGATCTATATTTTCACTTATTCTAATTCAAAATTATGCCCACAAGAGTGTTCACCAGGTTTTCTACTATCACTTTAATAGTAATATGCTGCATTGGATATGAAAGTTCTGCACGGTGATTTTAGGCGATGGTAGGTGTGCAAAGGTGTTTGGCAGTATGAGAGAGGGTGGGGGTGGGGGGGGGGGGGGGGGGGGGG